CCTGCCCGGCCCAGGTTGGGCGATGCGGAGCGGGGGAGGCTGCTTTGGAGATTGCCGCCGCTGCTGATGGATGCTTGGAGGGTGCCTGCCTTCGCTCCCCGTTTCTCTTTCATCTGAGGACGCCTCCGGCTCTGTTAAACTCTCTGCCTGCTGGTACCGTTTGCAGATAACAGGAAGAAGCCTGAGCCCGAGAGGCAGTTCCCCACCTTCTTCCACCTAACGTAACCCGTTGGGGCTCCTTTGAAGGCTTGCTGGCGCCCCGGCGGTGATGGCAGTGCTGGGGTCCCTTAGGCTGTACTAAGAGCCTCTTGTTTTCTCTTCCCTTTCTTCTTAGAGGCATTTCATCTTTAAGGGCCGGCTGCTGGCGCACACTTTTATACCCACCGAAGTGATCAGGAAACCATGTTGTCTGGTGGAAGAAGCGCGTTTCTGTGCCTTGGGATGATGTGGAGCTTCTGGAGCTCCCTGAGTTGGATGCCTGTTGGAGGATGCCCCCACAAATGTACATGCATTGCTTCCAACGTGGACTGTCACGGACTGGGACTGAAAACCGTACCGAGGGATATTCCCAGGAATGCAGAGAGACTGTAAGTAATAAGCGTAAGGGCACCTCGAGTATTTGTAGAAGCACCTGGGATGAGTTTCTCTACACCTGCCTGTCAGCGTGGAGTACATAGTAACAGCGGCTTAAGTAATCAAACGGGGATTAATGTTTTCAGGAGGGAAGGGGAGGAGCTTTTGAGAAGTTACAGCTAGCCGGCTGCTGCTCTTGGTTTGAAAACAATCAGTTTTGGAGCTTCACGGTTTTTTGTTTTAATAACCAGTCGGTCGGGCTCTTGTTGATCGGGTTTTGCAGTGACGTGCTTGTGATGGAGGTGAGAACTCTGCCTGCAGTGTTCCCAGCGATAATTCCTGTCAATGCAAACACCAATTAAGTATGTAATTAAAAACCTGGATGTTTTCACCTGGTAGCTAGTAGCAGTTTCTCCTTGCCTGCTTTCCCAGCATGGTGACTTCATCACCATGGAAAAATCGACTACCACCATAAATTAAATCAAATGGATAAGAAGTCGTTTTAAAGCAGCGTCTAGTTTCTGTCTTAAACTGCCTAAGTAGCTGCATCTGTTATGAAGAAGGTGGTTATTTAATTTTTAGTTTGCCTCAGGGTTCATCACAGCGGTGTGATGTGCTTCAGACCCCAGCACAGGAGAATGCCGTGAGCGTGTTCAGAGTAAATCTTCTGTATCATAACTTCTTATAGGTTTTTCTAGTTGACTCCTTAAAAACATGTTAAGCTAAAAGCAAACCTCAGATCTCCGGTACAGTTCTGGCACTCGCTTGGTGCAGAGGACTGTATCTCTGACGTTGCTTAATGCACAGCATATGGCATATTTCACAGCGTGCCCCGTGCTAGATGCAGAGACGCCCGGGAGGGAACGTTAAAGGGCTTCAGTGCAGCTCTCCGCTGGGTTCCCCTGATGACCTAAGAGAGGGGCAGTTTGTTACGCCTTATGTGGATTAGCTGATGGCTCTTAAAACTTTTTAAAACTTATATGATAACAAGTATTATAATAACCAGTTTAGATTTATGTGGCCTCTCTGTTTTATTTCCTTCCAGCACGTAGAGTCGGGGACATTTCAGACCCTCCAGCAATTTTCTTCTAACTGAAAAAACCTAGATGAGGTTACTAAGCAAAAGGCTGACATCTGTGAAAACTTCTTTTAAAGGCTAACTTCTGTCCTAGGATGAAACGTAATAGCGTTTATGAAACATTCACGGATGCATTTTTATAGCACAGAGAGCTCTTAAATGATAGCAGTATAGTTGTTTGATTGGGTTTTAACCGGACTATAGTGCTGTCTTTACTGTTTTGTGAGTTCCATGTATCAGCCTTCCTTTTAGACTCGCTTGTGTGAACAATAGTTTTCAGACGTCAGTGCTGGAGAAAGCTCTACTCCCTGTGCACAAAACTCTGGTGTGCGCTTCCAGGAATTGATGAGTAGTAAGTAACCTTGCGGTTTGGAGATGAGGCAGATCAACCTGGTAGTATACCAAGCTGCTGAGAGTAAGCATAACTCTGTGATAACACAAATATTTTTTGTGTCTCATCAGCGTTTAAGATTCGAGGGCTAGACTTAAGCTTTTAAATTTGAGGTTAAACTGGTGCATACAAGGTTAGTTGGCCATCTCAGAAGAATTTGAAAAGCAATATGGTAACTTGTTCTTGCTTAGGGTTTAGAGAGGCTGAGTTTATTCAGTGAACTCGGATTCGCTTGCGAGAACGTACTTAATAGAGACGTTGACTTTGCTTGTCCTGTCGAAGAAGCTAAGCTGCAGGGGTGAGCTGCTTGGCCTTAGAAGGCCAAGTGTCAGAAAGAACAAAAGGTGAAAGGCATGTAATCGTTGTCGTGTTCTTGGCCCTCATAATTTTTGCTGTAGTTCACAGATCTCTTAAATTCTGGACTAATGGCTGCGTGAAGAGCAGCAGCAGCTATTTCACAGTGTTCTATTGGAACGTTTTACCTCACAGACAAACCACGGATATAGACAACATCTAGCGGATTTTTTTGAAATAGGGTGTTACTGGAGCATTCGGTTCCAACCCATAACATTTAATTCATATCTCTCAGTGGCTGCAACCTTATGGCAATAGCGTATAAAGATCACCCAGGAACATGCTGTTCTGTTCTTTTAAATACTGTCTTCACTTTTTATTCTTCTAGACTCTCGTGAAACTCTTTCACTGATCAATCCTTTTCAGTAAAACTGTGTTTTAAAGTTTATATTTGTAGATTAGCACTAAATGCACTAACTCAGATTTTCTGATGTAGGCAGTGAAGAAAAAAAGACCTTAACTCCCCTGAATCAAAATTCTGCTCGTAAACGAAATGTCAAGTCAGCCACCGGATATACCCGAGTATCTCTGTTCTCTGTGGTGCATGGCAACCTGTAATCGTGTATGACATAACACTCTGTTGATCTGTAGTCTTCAGCTAGTTTGTCTAACTTATAATTAAAAACAAATTGATTACATCTACCATGACAGAAATATTTTTAATCTCAGAAGAGCATTTATATGTTGAATTTCTTTTTAAAAGAAATTTCTTGATGGCCACACACCAAGCAGCTTTTTAGACTGTTGTGCTGTGCTGCATTGCTGGTCTGCACTGCTTTCTGTGTCCCTTTGAGCTAAAAGTTCCTCATACCAGTCTAGATTGGAAACTTTTTCTTTGCTTTAGTTAATAGAAGATCTAACAGGACCACTTAAAATGGTTTGCCACTAAGCTTGTAAAGTTTTGTTTGTGCAAATGCTATAGAATGTTTGGGCTGAAGGAGCCAACCTAAACGTTATTTAAATGGTGTTAAAATGCAACCCAAGGAAAACTCAGTTGAATATATAACCTGAAGAAAAAGTGAGACAACTCCGTTGGGGGGAGTGGGGAGTCTTGTTGAGAAGTTCCATTAAATGAACTAGTGAGAGTCTTCTGGTATTGCAAGAAACGTATGTCACTAGAGCTTTGATTCTTGTTTCTTCATGATAAATTGAAAGCACGCTTTTTAATAGTTCCGTTGCTTTGAAGATGCACTTTTTGTGCAGAGTAATACCTTTTTGAGAGGACTCTGCAGATCAAATAGTGTTCGCAGAAACAATATTACCATAAAACTGGCCTAAACTTTTTTTTTAGTTTCATCTTTAATAGTAGCTTTCTGAATATAGCAGCATTAGGTCTGTGTTGCAGTTTACCTTGTATTACATTCTATGATAGTCTTCTAACTGCGTAGCATAGATTGAAGTTTTTACTGTCGTAGGTCTCATGCAGAGCTAAAAAGAGATGCAACTGTTCACTACTGTAGAGAGAAATGACACAATGTAGAGAAATTGAGTGGTGAAACAAGTATTTGCCGTTTCCCAAGGGTAGCTGGAAATTCCTTCTAGAGGAGGAACCCCCAAAACATCCTACATCTCGCACAGGAAAGGAGAGACATGAAATTAGGTCTAAGACTTGCATACATAAATGTGTAAGTTGTGAAGCTCCACAAAGGAACATATCTGCGAACAGAGTAATACAGCTGACCTTGCAGCTTTGTCTTTGGTATGTACTGGTCGATACCACGTTTGCTAAGTAACTTAAAATCCTACCAAAAAAAAAAAAAAGTTAAAAGGTTTATGGGCCTATTGTGTTGTGGAGAAAACTAATAACGTAATAGTTGACTTCTAGTGGTGAGCTCAATGACCTTTTTTTTTTTTTTTTTTTTTTTTTTTTTTAACTTCGAGCTTTGCAACTAAGTTATTAGCCTTGTGAGTGAATGATGGAGACAAATTAGGGTTTAGAAGTTGGGAGTACGTAAACATATCCACAAACATTCGGCATCTTTTAAACCTTTTGGAAAAGTTTCTTAGCACTGCTTCCTTTAATTGTGCAGTAGATTCGTGTCATGAGAGTTTGCTTAGTAGTGCTTTAGTTCTCATATGGAGTTCTGTGCTTATGTCATTTTCTTCAGCAGAAATGCTTTCTATATATATAAAATATGACTTTAGCTTTTTGTAGCACTTACGGTGACCTAATTTTATCTGAGATAATATGTAAGTACAGTGAGCAGATTAAAGGCACTTGCTTGGTGGTTGTTGCACCCTCCTATTCCAAGAGGAAAAAGTGATACGGAGAAACTAGTCAGAGGTGTTCTGGGCAATATCTGCTTTCTATTTGAATATGAAACATAAGCTTTTGTGTTTTTTCACCCGTTTATGTCTAGTGCTCTTAAAAATCTTCCGATTAGTAGCATTATATGTATATAAAAGTTTATTTGGAGAATTAAGCTGTGTGTTTGAGTTCTTGATGAATATACACTTAGTAGCCTAGAATCTGTTTAATTGGTAGCTCATCTGTGTTAAATTTTTTTTTTTTTTTTTAACTTTGAGGGATTCTTTATCTTTCTAAATTGATAAAACTTGAAAGACTAATCAGTTCTGTGCTCTGTCGGAGTAGCTAAATTGAGTGTGTCCACATTTAGGTGCAATTTAGAAGCTTAGTCATCTGCTTACTCTGGCATTTCCGTGTGGTCTGGAGTTTCTGTTATACAAATATATTATTATGGTGTTTTTGGCCTAGGTGAACATAGCTGCTGAAGTTGCACTGGCTTATAAGAAGTTTTCAACTTCCTCAGTTTTGTCTCCAAATTAAATCCAAGCTCTTGTCTTGAGTGCTTCCATGTTACTACAGAACCCATTGTTAAGCACACGCAAATATAGTCGTATTGACTCTCACATTGACACTCTGTTCTGTACGAATTCGTCCCACTAGGGATTACCACTCGATTCTTTGTGTAGTAATAGTCTCCAAAGCCTGCGTGGTCCTCCCCCCACTCCCTTCCCCACCCCCCCGCACAAACGCGCACAAGCATGCGTACACTTTGGCTTAGGAGAATTTGCCATCAAAGGTACTGATCCTGGAAAAACTTTACTGAGTTGCTTAGGCTCATTTGGGTAACTTCCCTTTCATAGTGACTGCTCGCGCTTGACTGAATGCAGACATGGATTTGTGTATTGGAGCAGTCTTGCAATATTGTTACCTCATTTCGAAGTGT